TCATATTATGTTTTGGAATGATGACTTTGTTTTAAGTAATGTTTTATTAAAAGAAATTTTTGGTCTTAAATGTTGGGTCGTTACAAGCTCGCTCTTTGATAGGTTCATATTATCGGTTACTTTCTAGTCTTTGAGCTTAATTTTGGGTTTGTAGAAAATTTGTGTGGTACATAGATATTCGGGAATTATGGAAAGAAAATAGACTTGGAGGATGATAAATTATGGGCTTGTGAACTTGTAGGAATGATGCAAAAGTATGTTTGTTAAATAGTGGATGATTGAATAAAATTGGGCCTTGAACTTAAAAGAAAATGAAAAGATATTCGGTATTGCGGATTGATTGATCGGGTGGGTATACAAGCTATGGATGATTTAGAGAAGATGAATTAGGCCAAAAATAAAGAAGACCTGAAGAATCATGGACTATAATTAATTAGATGAAGAAATGGAGCAGTGGGCTAAAACACTGCAGACCCATTATGAAAAAAGCCCAATCTACAGGCCACCCATGCAGACCTGTTGGGGGCATTTTCAAGATTTTACATTTGGTGCTATATGTGGAAGGTTGGTGAAGCTCTTTTGGCACTTTTTAACATCCAATTTTTTAGTAAAATTCTCTGCATTGTGGTTGCTTTATAGGAGGCAAGAACTTGAAGAGAAATTCATTTTTCTCATCTTGATTCTTGGCTAGTGTTTGGTATCTTTAAACTATTTTACTTTTCCTTAATCTTAGCCATGTTAGGCTAAGTTTATCTTTGGTGTATGTTGGCTAAACCCATAGACGACTAGTTATTTTGAAGATTGTTTATGAACTTTGGTTGAAGTTCATGGAGTTATTTTCTAGTTAAACATCTTTTTATCCTTGTTTGTCTTTAATCATGATTTTAGACGAATGAATGTTTAATTAGTTGATTAATTTCTTGGTTAAGTTATAGATCTTCAAATTAGCAAACAACAAATCGTTTATGTGTTTGTTTTCATTTCACCTAAGCCATGAAAATACTTCCTCCATAATGGTAATGGAAGCATTTGATTACCTTTTGGACTTGGTGACTCTTAAAACTTAATGCTAATTGATTTTCACAAATTACATGTTTTATTAACTTTGTGACTTTGATTAAGGTAATGTGTTATGAGCTTCTCTATCCAATTTAATAACAAAGATGAGTTGAGGTGATTTATGCTTATAATTTCTACAGCCAAGTTAAAGGAAATCACAAGTATTACACCATAACATCTAATGTCAACTAGCTTTCCCTCATTGATTTGAACCAAAACTCTTTACTTGTTTACTTGCATTTCCAAACCTTAGTGTAACTTTAGTTTCTTTAAAACACCAAAAGATTAAAACCCCCATTTTTACTTTTATTGCCATTTCATAAAGAGATTTATAGAGCTACAAATAGAAGAAATCTCCATGGATTCGATCTACTTGCCAGTATACATTATTTTGTGTGTAATTTCTAAGGTTATTTATTTTTTTTGGCCTCAACAACCACCACTCTTGCATCTATGCCTATCATTTTCTCATGGCTCTGAAACTCTTAAAGGTTGCAAACTCTTCCATTTCTAATTCTTTCTCTGCCCACTCTTTTTGGCTAGTTGTATTTCCCTCTTTACGCTCGGTAGGTAGGACGTCCTTGCTTTTTGCTACCATAGTAATTTGTGGTGCTTCTCCGGGACCTTCCAGGCTCTGCATTCTTGTGATCGAACTCGTGTCGACAATTGTTGTATCTTCATTGGCCATTTGTCACAGAGTCACACAGATGACGCTACTTATTGTGCCTCAAGATTTTGTCTTCAATGAATGAGTATCGTAGATGGTGCTACTTTTTATGCCCCGGGATTCCGTCTTCAGCAAACGAGCGAACAAGTACTAGGATGGACTAATGAAGTTACAGAACCTGAGAAAACAAAATTTTCATCCGAGATTGATTGGGGAATATAGCGAGATTTGTATGTTAAAATTGTGTATGGGTTGCGTACCTTATGAACTGGGTAAGCATCGTATTTATAGTCGAGATGTGGGAACGATGACTTTTTCCTCTATCAAGTAGGTATGACGTCTTATCGCATTAATGTTTTCATAGACCAGGTATACCAGTGTGTCCTTTTTACTTGTTTAACAACTATTACTTGAGATTCAAATGATCTGTCAAACATCACTTACTATACAACATGTGTTGTTAGTTCCAATGTTCATTGATACTTAAGGGCGATTTTCCATACTTCATCGCTATCTCTAAGTGTTAGATTGCTCTTAATCGGGGTGTGTTACCTTGGTTTGATTATTGTCAATTGGCAGCTTATGGTACAACCATCTTTATTGAACTCTTTGTTGGTGAGGGTTATATGTGTGGTCTTGGGTTGTATACCCTATTGTTAGTGTTATTGAAAGTTATGAATTTTTACTTGGTATTGTTATTAATTATGAAATTTTATCTGTTATTAGTATGGTAATTAAAAAAAATACAGTTTAGATGTATTTGTATTGATGCCAATACTAATCAAGTACAAACTATAATGACATTTAGAAAAACAAATATAAGTGAACTAACCAATTACAAAATATAATGACATTTAGAAAAAGAAATATAAGTAATTAGTTTGCTTCAAGCAAAAATAATACTAAATTGTTGCTTTAGATATAGATGTTGAATCTACATTTTGTTATTAGAAGCAATACAATCACTTGAATATTTTAAAGTTCATCGTTTATGATGTTATGTATGCAACTGTTATTTCTCTAAATATTAGTTTTTAAACAATTACAGTGTTTTAAAAGTATTTTTGGAATTTTATATGATTCAAAGAATTTAATGTCATTAGATGAAAATGAATATAAAAAATATTATATAAAGTTTACAACTAGTTTTTCTAGTGACATTGTTTCTAATTCAAATGATATTTTATCCATTAAAAGTATTGCAAAATGAATGCCTAATAATAGAGTCTGCAATTGAAATTTTAGAATTTGTTAAATCATCTAATTGTTTTTATCCAAATGTTTTTATTACATATAGAATCTTATTAACTATATTGTAACTATTGCATCTATAGAGAAAAGTTTTTCAAAGTTAAAGTTATTAAAGAATTACTTAATGATATTGATGTTACAAGTAAGATTAAAGGACTTTGTTATTCTTTGCATAGAGAAAGATATCTTAGACAATACTGATCTTAAATATATTCTATTAATAATTTTGTATCTCAAAAAGCTAGAAAAAGTATTTTTATATAAATATTTTGATTTTTATAATTGAAAATGTTATATTGAGAAGGTAAATAGAAGTACTTTTTTTAAGGTAAACAACAAATTTTGTCATGTGATATGAAACAAAAAAGTATTGAGTAAAAAAAAATGTTTTCTAAACATAATTTTTTATGGTTTTAAAACTTAAGGAAGCATTTCAGTTTATTTTTATATTTTTCTTAATATCTAAATAATTAAAAAATAAAGAAAATACCCAACCCACCCTACCCTTTCTCTCCCTCTCTCTTTGACCCTTTTTTTCTCTCTCTGTAACTCTTTCTTCGGTGTTTTTCTTTCTCACATTCACCTGTAAATCAAACCTCTCATACACACATGCATGTGTTTGGGCTCTAACGGTTTCGAATCCACCTAAGATACTGTTACTTGAATATCTGTTCATTAGTAGTGAAACACAATCCAAAGTATTTACAAGAAAAATCGAATGGTGTAGTGCACCCCCACCTCCCCTCCCTTCAATTTTATATGATCATCTTCTTCATCTTATATTCTTTCCACATCTCAAACCAGATATCCTCTACACTACATAAATACTAGAAATTAAAAGACACATAATCCATAGATTTACTTTAGCATATGTTCTTATTCTGTCGGAAAATCAAATGGGCTAGTGCAGCCCCAACTAAAACACACACACACACATGCCTCACATACTCTCAGAAAAATAAAAAACACAAACATAGAGAAAAATTACAACTGATAAACTAATCCAAATATTTACTTTAGAACATGTTCTGATTCTCCAAAGCTCAATCTCAATTGCAACGGAACAATATGCTTTGTTAACATCAAGGAAGTCTTGATCAAAGAATGAGCGTTTTACATTTGTGCTACCAAATAACATAGTAAATTTCAACCAATGACAACCCAACTCAAAGTCAAATTAAACCCAACTCCAACCACAACCGAAGAATAAAAGGGAAGATTTTGTCGTCGTTATCGTTGTAGCTAAAGATTGAACGATAGTAGGAATAAAGAAACTCCAATTGCATCAAGACATAAAGAAATCTTAGTCCCAAAATAAAACCAAGAATTTTGCAATGTTCTTACTAACCATTTCCATAAAGATCAAATGGAACAAAGTTAACAATAGATTATTTCCTCTTTCAATGAAAGATAACAGAGGGGTGTTGAAGGAGTATGACAAGAGAAGCCCATCAAGTTGAATCTAGTGTTAGAGAAAATCATCGCAATCATAGTGTAATATACCGAAAGGAAATATATATAATCAAGTACTTTAGCAATTGTATCATATTAATTTATCAAAACCATTCATAGCTCGACATCCTTACGAATCAAGAGTTATTTGTTGTCAATGATAATTGAAAACATGTGTTTAAGTAATATACTTTGTGAGTTGTAACACACAATACGTTTCAACTTCTAAGTTTTCATACCAATAAATATATTCTCTAGATTCTCTTTTTACACAAGATAACAAAACATAAAATATCCAAATCCAATCCATAAACGAACATATTCATATCTGTATCTAAACAAACAGATCCAGATATGAATATATACCATCGAATCTAATATCCATGACTTGTTTTTCACATCATGTCAAACCATGCAAGAACTTTAAAGATGAGGTTCCTTCATATAGCTTTAAGTAAGTAACGCTAGTCAAAAGTCTTGTAATCAAATCACACTAACTTTCACAAACAAGAAAAAAAACATGTAACGATTGAAAACTCATCTATAAACTTTCCTATCATCAAGTTTTTGGTCATGAGAAGCTAGAAGGATAGTATGAAGTAGAAGAAGATCTGATATTTGGTATGAAACCCAATGAAGATCCATGAGAAGTTGGATGTAAAATGCTTGAAGAACCCATTTGAATACAACCCCACCTACCAATATCTCCATTACAATCACATCCAATTTTCATATCAAGTCTATGAAGAAGACAATCTCGAGGCATTGAACCATTTTGATTATGGTTAAAGATAACTGGATGTTGATGTTGATGTTGATGTTGATGATGATGATGAGTCATTGAAATTGAGCAAGAAGGAGGTATAAATTGGTCAACAATATGATCATTTGTGTTGACCATAGTCAAATTTTTTCCCATTAGCCTGAGAACAGGTGCAGTAACAGCAGATTCATAAACCGGAATCTTTATCGATTCATTCCTTGAAACAACTGATTCTTGAGGATATGAAGAAGTATTTTTAGGAAAAACGGATTCTTTTCTAGAACAACAGCAATGGTGATCATTCTTGAATGTTGAAGAAGAAGAAGAAGAAGAAGAAGCCATGGGATCTTGTATGGAAGTAAATCTTGGAAAGAATTTGTCATCAGATCTTATGAAACTGGGACTTGAGATGGTTGAATTTGGAGATTCGGACATGAAGTCCATGTTTATCATATGATCATGATGTTGATGATGATGAGGATGATGATCTTGGGTTGATTGAAGTCTACTTATTGTAGAGGTCAAAGATGAATTATTGGGTTGAAGTTGATCAGAAATTATATCTCCACCAGGGCTAGGAGGGAGGAAAGATCCAGGTGGGCCCGGGATAGGTATTGGATCGACTTCTTGAAAGTAATTTTCTTGCTTTTCAATAGCATCATCCATGTCATCATCTTCAATGTTATGAATGTTTTCCATGGATTCCTGCAACTCAAATTTTGAAAACTCATCATCTAATGAGTTCCTCAAACCCATAAAACTTCCTTGAAATGGGATTTCGGTTCTAATGGATTCTAAAGAATCCACATCTGAACTTTTGGAAGTAATTGATTTCTTCTTTTTGACTTCAATAACATTCTCCATTTCAAAAGACGAGTCTTTGCTCATGTCTTCTTCTTCTTCTTCTTCTTCTTCGATTCTTTATTTGTGTTTCAAAGAATCTTGAAATGGGTCATCAGTTTCATTCGATTTCTTGAAGTGTAAAGATTTCCTTTTCAAATTAATCTTGGATCCTGAATTGTTTTCTTGAGTAGATAACAATAGATTCGATTTCAAAGATGCAAACTTTATCCCTTTTGTCAATTCTGTTCTTGCTTTCTTGCTATATTGTAAAGAAGACATATTATCAGAAGACTTATCACTTTCTGAATGCAAGATTCCATTTTTTCCATTCAACTTCTTTACAAGAACACTTCTCTTAGAACAAGCCCATGGTGGCCTTGTAATGACCAAATTGTTGATCAACTGCTTATCTACTTTAACTTTCATGGATTCTTCAATCTTGTTTTCCTGTTTATCAAGAATCTAAAAGTCATGTATATGAAGAACAAAACTACATGTAAAAAGGTAAAAAACAAGATTCAAGAATCTAACCTTAGAAACATCAGAGTGAGGCTTTAGAGAGCTCAACTTTTTGCTCTTATGGCTAAAGTTCAAACTTTTTTGCACATAAAGTTTCTTTTTCTTCTTCTCCATGACAATTTTACTCCCTTTTTGTAACTTTCGAGCTTCTAAAGTTACAATTTCTGGCATTGACAAGATCCGAACTTTTGTGCCATTTGTGTCAATATAAACAGCACCTTCATGATCTTGATTGAAAGCTTTTTCCTCTTCTTCTTGACACTCAAATTCTTGATCAGGAAAACTCGAATTAGTAGCCCAATTTGTACCATTTCTTCTATCAAGTTCTTCCACTGTACATTGTGGAGCAGTTTTGTAGATTTCCACCATTAACCTTGTTTTCCTAGGTTTGATCCTATGTTTCACCATTATCTTAGAAGGATTTGGATTCACACTCCCTGAAATATTTGACTTTGACTCCTCAGATAGACACCTGTCAATGTGTGCGTTTAAAGTGGTGTTTGAAGATGATGAAAAAGTCTTGCAAACTGGACAAATTTTAGAAGCCATTGTAGTCTCTGAGACAATGAAATTAACTAAACGATCCGTTAGATGATCATCTTTTGATTTGCAATTAAAACTTGTTGTGATTTCTTCATTGTTGATAGATGAATTATTCCTCAGTGAATCAAGAGACTCGAAAGGTGGCAAGAAATTCTTCACGCCATAATCCAAACATAGTTGCAAACTTTCACTAGAAAACGACCAATTACAGGTGAGATTATCGTTGCATCTTGAACCAAAAACATAATCTCTGCAAAACGATTCTAGAATCAGGTATCATATGAACTGTAATCTAGCATATCATATGTCGACGATTGAAGAAGAAGCAAAATTCATGAACTTATGAGAAAATCTATAAAAACACAGAACGAAATTTGACAAACTGGGGCATAAAATGACATCGATGAACGTTGATGATCAAGAAATATTGGTATTGCTCCTTTCGATTGAGATTTTGAGGTGGGAAATTGAGGAAGGAATTAACGCGCATGTATGGGGGAAAAATGTCGAACGTGAAAACCCATCTTGATAAGGGTAAAATCAAAGGCCAATGAGAAGAATTTGATGTTTTCATGAAATTCGAGCCAAAGTACGTACTTCCTACTGACTAAAGAGAGCCTGAATCATACAAATTAATCACCGATGAACTCGGATCTGATACAGTAAAAGATTTCTTCAAGTAAATACAGTGAAAGAGAAGCAATTATTAAGTACGATCGATTTGTTTTTCACCTTATAGAGAAATTGGGAAGTCGGTTGTTGGTGTCATCAAGGAATGCATCAGTAAGCTTCAGCAGATCTATGTCAGAAACAGAAACAGAAGTAGGAGCTTTCTCGCCATTATTGATCTTGAGATCATGAGAAACTTGCTGTTGCTGTTGATGATGATTATGATAATTAGATGATGAAGGATCTGGTGGTGGATGATCATCAATGGATATCATCTGCTATAGATTATCTTCTGTCTTCTTGTGCTGTCTTAAAACAGTCACAAGAACTCTCCTCTATCTTTCTCTCTCTAGAACTTCAAATCAAGCATCCTAATTATCTGATTAAAAGCATTCGCTTAGTTTAGATAAAGCTATCATTTTTGTCATCATGTAGTAGAGCCTGCAAAAACATGTGAAGATCGTGAAAAAGATTAGAGATTAGAGTGTGTTTACCAAAAGTAGTGGTAGTAGTAGATAAGACCATATTTTATGTGATGTTGAAGCATCAAAGAAGTGCTTTTTATTTTATTTTATTTTATGCAAATCCGATTGAACAAGGAAAGAACAAGAATAGTCAAGAAAGATCATCATCCACAAGTAAAGACGAACTTAAAGAAGAAAAAGAACTTGAAAAACTGTTATTTTATGTGGGTCTTACGGGTTTTCTGCAGAAAAAGTAAGTTCCCAAATTTAACAACTAAATCTTCATAACCAGAACCCATTAGCTTTAACATCAATTCAGAACAAAAGAAACAGAAATCAAGACTGGGGTTTTACAGATTTGGATTTTTATCAAGAATCTTGGAACAAAAGTTTTGTGGTTATGCATAAAATCGAGTCAAGATCCACACATCATGATTTTAATTTGGGTGCTATCAAGAAGGATATAGACGAAATTAAAGCGAGATTATCCGATCTTTGGGTCATGTAAGTGAGCAGTAGAACACGACAATATAGAATCATCAAAAGGCATAAATAAAGACGAAGTATTTCGATGGTTGAAAGAACAATTTAAAGCTCAAATCACTTCCACCATGAATCATGTAGAAGAGATCATAAAATCATAAACACAAAAACTTCGATCAACCTGAACTAATTCACTGAATGACTCCTTGTATCTTTTTGATAGACATTTGCTTCAGATATACATAAAGACGAAATCTTGAAGTGAAACCTTGTATCACAAAGAAGTTATAGATAGAAAAGATTTAGTAGAAGAAAACAAACCCATGAAAGAAAGTGTGAAACGAATTCAGATGAACTAAGATCGCATCATTCGCACCACTTCGTATGAAGCTTCTTTTAGTAAATTGGGAGGAAAGACAACGGAAAAAGAAGGGAAATGATAGAATAATAAGCAAGAGGAGCGATTCATGCTTGAGTAGAAGAAACTAGCACCGTATTATCAAACGGAAGCATCGAGATCATCTCTCCAACAAAATGAAATTCTTTACAACTGATTCATCTCCTACACATGAATGTGTGCTCTGTGTGTGAGAGAGAAAAGGGCAGAGAGAGAATGTGTGTTTCAGAGAGAGAGAAAGGTGTTATGGGGACTCTACAAAGCTGTCTAATCTTATACCTGCCCTACAAGGCATTATTTTCTACATATTTTAAAACCTTTTGAAATTATTTTAGAATGAATTCCATGAATGGTCCTTGTGCTTTTACATATTTCCTTCAAACGGTTTTAATAAAATTTTGCTTGCATTAATGGTTTTTTGTAGTGAATTTTGCATAGTCAGCATGACAAACTAGGGATGAGCGTGGGATAGAACCGGTACCGACCCGTCCTGTTTTTGATTTTCTGAATACTGAATTTGATCAAAAGTTAATCCTGAGTACCGAACCGAATTAACATCACCGGTACCGGTACCAGGAATGGTACCGGTACTCGGTACTAGTACCGGTACCGACGGTACCGATTCCCGAATTTCATGTATTTGGAGTACTAAGTACCGTCCCATATTTTTAAATTTGGTACGGTGCGGTACCGGTTCCGGTACGGGATCGGGATTTGGGACAAACTGCTAATCCCTATGACCAACTTTGTTAAGTAAAGGGGTTATATTTTTTTTAAAGACATAATATACTCTTCATTTTGCAAGGACTATTTTTTAAAACTTTATCTATTTTAAGGTAATGTTCGAAAATTATACATTGAGAAAAATAATAATAATTTTTTAATCAAAATTATTAATGACTTTTCACTCTCAACCGCTAAAAAAAAACCACTAGAACTAAAGAAAGCGATAACATTCCTAATATTTTGCCACATAATTTTTTTTGAAGCTATATAGAATAAAGAGAATATAGCATGAAGTTGTTAAAAGTTAAGCAGTGGTTGCATCCCAAATGTTGTGTTATTTAATAATAGGTTTTATTTTAGAATAAAAAATAAAAAAATAAAATAAAACATCCAATAGGAAGCCTCTTATCTTCTTTTCTCTTTCTCTTTCTTCTGGTTAGTGAGATGGCGAGACAATGTTTGAGATGGTTCTGGCGAGTTTGATGGGATTGGATTTGGCGAGGCTGACGAGCTGGAGGCAAGCCCCTAGCGAAGGCCACTCCCTCCAGCCTAAATAATACCTAAGCCAAATATGCATGTGGTTTCGATTCGATGATCGTTTAGACGGATCCGTTCGATCCAATCTGACAATTAATTTAAATAAATTTTGGTTTTCAAAACATGAATTCGAGTAGACTAAATTAAATTCAAATCCGATCTAATTCAACCAAATTACGGAGGGATTGGGGATTTCTTTTAGATTGACTTTTGACTTTCAAAATTTTTCAAAAATTCAAAAAAAAAAAAAAAAAGCCAAAAAAATATTTGGATAATAGAAAAGTTTTTTTAAAAATAAATTTTTACATAGAAAAAAATGGTTTCTAAAAATCACAAAAAACATGACTTTTTGTGTCTTTATTGTTTTACATGCAAAAGATAAACCAAAATGTAAAAGTTAAACCAAAAGTTATTTTACTCACTTTTTGTTAATCTAAACACATTTTAAAAAGCTTTTCTTTTATAAAAAAAATTTAAAAGAAAAGTCATTTTATAAAAAAAATCGTTCTTTTGATGTTCAAAAGTAATCTCAAATATTATCTATAATTTGTTCAAAAGTAATCTCAAATACTATCTATAATTTGGTTGGATCAGTTTTTTAGGAACAAGACATTTAATATATATATATATATATATATATATATATATATATATATATATATATATATATATATATATATATATATATATATATATATAACTGAAATATTAGTCATCTCTATAAAATCTCTATAAAAGTATCTAATATTTTTTAATTATGGGTTATAATTTATAAACAATTATTAAGAAAATTTGATTATAATTTAATATTTTATTGATAAAAACTTTTGGTAAGTACCTATTAATGTATTTTATTTGATGAAAGTTTCTAATAATTAAAAAAATAATTTAGTATATTTATTAATGATTAAAGATATATTAAAAAATAAATAATAAGTTGTTATTCATTTTTTTTGGATTATTCGGATCTTATTTTATAAACCAAAACCATTTTGAAATCAATAATAGCAATTCGGTTTAGCTTAAAATCAATCAAAAAATTTAAATATCCGAATGAAATAGTCCAATTCAAATTGTTTGATTGGACAATTTGGTTTTAACTAAATAGTGAACAATCCTAGGTTTCGACACTCGACTACGGTTTGACATGGTAGTATTATAAGAATTTCAATTTTTTGGGACAAAACCATAGGTGAAGTTACTCAACTACGATATGCTCTCAATTAAGCTACGACTTGGATTTTGGAAGACTCGACATGCTATTTCGGTCTAAGCATTAAAATACTATTACATTCAAATTACTGAATCAACCCAAATATCATACAACATAATAAAACTATATCACTATACATGTTATAAACCAAAAAAATCAATCAAACAAACAAAAACATTATGTCATCTACGGTGTACAAACTGCTAATTCACATTTTGTGCATATGTAGCATGTACAACGTAGATGGTATACCCAAATGAATTTTCTTGTTGTTCGGAACTACCATTAGAGAGAGTTTCACTAGATTTTAACACCCAAAAATGACCTAAATGAATTTTTTTTAGTTCATATATTATAGGCTAAATGGCCCCCAAACCGTAGATGGGATGCAAAACCGTAGCCTAAACTGCCTAAAATTGTAGGTAATACCCTCTATTACTCTCCAAATCGTAGCTATTAGTTCAAACTGTAGGTAACTTAATATTATCCATTGGCTGGTTAGCTACGTTTGGATAATGTGTACGTAAGGTCACACCTTATGATCCGATGAGTCAAACACTCTTACACGCTATCTGTCAGCGTCAGTGTCTATACCATCAGAGCCAACGTATCAAACCTATCAGCGTCAACGCTTAGTATAGTTATTCTATGTAATCCTTTGTATATTAGCTGATGATATATATATATATATATATATATATATATATATATATATATATATAATAGATAACATATCTGATATCCTTGTGATAAGGATCGGTTCTTAGTATAGATAACATACAATCCCTTCAATTAAGGGATATACTTGTTAAGATTAGTATATATTGAACATTAGGAAGAAACCCTAATGTTAACACGACTTGGTGTCGTGATCTTCTTTATGACAAACCGTCTTCTTGGTGAAGACAAAACTCTTTATTGGTAAAAGAACAACTTGGAGAACTTTGTGTTATTTACTTCCCGTTCTATGTTTTTCTTAGAATTAGTTTAAATTCGTTCTTTATACTTGAAGTGTATCCGATTGATACAAACCTTCAATTGGTATCAAAGTAGTTTTTTGATACACTCAAGTAAATCGTGTCGACCTCTTTTATTCCAAAATCAATTGTATGCAACAAGATCCCTCCATTCGACAAACATAACTTCTCTACTTTGAAATTAAAGGCGAAGGAAGCTCTCAAGTTCATGGACTTTGATATGCTCGATATCATCAACAAAGGTCCTATCACCGTTATGCATCAATCATCCAATAATTGTGCATTAGGAAGTAAGATGAAACGAAAGTTTGTGCCTGGATATAACAAGGAAGAGAAAAGGATGTTGAATCTCGATGTAAAGGTGAGAACTACTATTGGAAACTCACTACCTTTTTATGTCTATTATTTGGTTCTAAACTGTTCAATCGTTCAAGAGATGATGATTACACTATCATCTGCTGTTGAAAAAAGAAAACTCCTCAGACGATGAATGTAAGTGTCTCATGGGCTAGGTCGTTGAATCTCGTGTTGACATTTCAATTGTCAGCGCTGGGATTCTTAACGTTGATCCTCTTCAAGTTGCTGCAGACCTTAAGATAGAATGGAATGTTACATCAACATATCAGGTAAAAGTCTAATTATTTACTCTTCTATTGAAAACATCGAAAAGAATGATATGATTGATCACCTCCGTTTCAATTTATTGGTATCAAATAAAGAATGACCATCTCTCAATTTTGAGTTAAAGAAACTAAAAGAAAAACTTGTCTTTTTTGAAAAATCTCTTTCTACATTAAAAAAGTAAAAACACATGTATCTCACTAACCAATAATTTTCTTCACACTAAAAAAGAAAAAGTTGTTGATCATGCTAAACGCATTCAACTCGTTTTGAAAAACTAGGCCTCATCTCACTTAAATGTCACAAGAATTATTAATGCTTAGATTCCATATCAGTATGAGAAAATTCTTAGAGGTGATATAGAAGGTGCTGTTTCCTTAACCAAATTTGTTAAAACTAACCAAACCTTCTTTAAATCTAATTGTTTAAAAGAATATTTTAAGGATAGATTTGTGAACTCTCATTTTATTAATCAAACTTTAATTGATACTCACTGCTCCACTGATTCTAATGATATCACCGAATGGCTTACTCAATTATCATCTATTAATCCTTCTCATCAACCTTCTAACTATGAGTATATTCTTCCCTCTACTATGATTTTGCTAAATTTTCCTATATGCAATGGTGAAGTTCACTCAGTAAAAGAAATTCTTAGCATTTTTCCTTAGTGTTCCGTTAACAATTCTAAACACGAAGATCAATCAAAGTCCTTTACTTTTGATGACTCAATGATTCATGAGACTCGTGATAAGGTATCAACTGAGCATACCATTGATGACATTCCTTATTCCAGACCTAAAACAAGAACTCTTAATTCAAAATTTCAAAGTTCGTTGGGTTTAATGGTTGAAAAGAAATCAAAATCTACTGTTAAATGAAAGAATCATGTAATCAAAGTTTGTTATCGATATGGTGATGTATCGCACAAAGTCGGTGAGTGCACTTTTGAAAAGAACTCCATTCGCACTGACAACATCATGACTCGTAAGAAACTCGTTGAACTGTCTCCCTGATGATTGTTAAAATATTTTTTTCTTGAGTGACTCATTGCAAAATGAGTCGGTGTATATTGTGTGTATTTTTTTCTTATTTTGTTTCAGGGCTTAATGTATATTTTAGTTTCAGGGTAAAGAACATATTTGGTATTTAGACAGCGAC